ACCATGGAAAAAGACGATATTAAATTTTCCCTGTAAAATAAAATTTAATTAGAAACCTATACTTAAAACGACAGTAATATTTCCGAGGAGAACAATTTCGCGTTATAGTTTTCAGATAAATGTCTCATAAATCAGTGTTAATTGTCATACGCAGGCTTCGAAATCGGGGAAACTTGGCGATCTGTCGCATTGCCGGGTGCATTTCCGGGAACATGCAAAACAGTTTGGACTCTTTCCGAGTTACGTTGGCCCGCGGCCAAGTTGTCTTTATCCGATGACCCGGGACGGCCACTGCACACATTCAAAAGTCGAGGAAAGTGGAACGGACAATTTAACGTTCGAGATCGTTTCGGTCGATCTTGTCGAAAAATCTGCGGTAAACAAAGAAAGAGCCTGCCGCCATCGCATCCAGAAGCATAACACTTTCTATATCCGCCGGAAGGCCGAATCTGAAATTTAAATTGCTATGAATTATCGTAGAACCATCAGAAATCTACACGGAGAAATTTTTTTACCGAAACTGTACCAAATGTCGTCTAAAAAGTTGCCGAAACGGGTTTCTTTATTTGACTCTAGAAAACAAAAAAAAGGTTCTTTTTCGTAAAAGAACGACATTTTACTTTGATATTATAATCTTAAAAGTACTATCTAAAATTATAATCACGCAACTCTAATTGATCATCAGGTTTATTAGAATCTTGGAAGTTCAAAATTAAATTTGTATATAAATATTTATTAAAATTACTTTAACTAATTTAAATCAAAAACTGATTAAAATTACTTTAATTTATCGAAATTAAAACTTGTTTACAATGATTTTAATTTATTCTATTTCATAAATGTGATCATTTTTATTCAATTCAATCATTTCAGATGTAAAACCTATTTGAAGCAAAATCTATCATGCGAGAGAGATCGTTGCGTGTACCGATAAAACAACGCACCGGCAAGTCGCTTCGATCAACGATCGCGATTGGTCATAACGACTCCTCACATAATAAATCATTAAACGCATCAGCCCCTTTGCTGATCTGGTCATATACCGTTTAGTCACCAGCGGGAAGAATCGTTCGAGCGCGATGTACTTGATCCGAATGTGTAGTGAGGCCTCCCAGCATCAAACACAGCGAAATACCTTTCACTTGGGCAATGTCAGGAAAGATTCCCGATGTCGCTTCGGGAGAGTCAGTCGATGATTTTCACTCGTGGCACGGGTAACATCGGCTACCGGTTTACTCGGCAGTTTACTACGCCTTGTTTCATACGATCATTTGTAAACGACTTGTTATCGGCACCGAATTATGTCACTGGAATTTTTCACACAGGATACACAATGATCTGAATTAGGTGTCCGTGAACACACGTGAATATCAGTGGCGCATTCCATTATTAACTTTAATGAAGTGGTCATAATGTGTGAGGTGTCAAACAGGTTCTTATATGTTTTGTCAGTTCTACAGCTAAAAATACAACTAAAATGTCGTGTAATAAATATTCCATAAATCCTTTTATTGTACAGATGTGATACAAATATGGAACTTGAGGTGATTGGGGTGTTTGTCTTTTGTGTTTATAAGTTTCACTCGTTTTTATATTAATGTAATATTGTATAATAGAAGCTTTTGATATTATAGTATAATATTGATATTGTAATGTTGGGTTTATTGTGAATTGGTAATTTTACATCATACAATAGTGATTCCTTCGTTTAGTTAATTTCTAGTTCTTACCTTCATATTCCGTTGAACTAAGAGTGTGGTAGATTGTATTTTATGTTTCATATTTATGTTAATATTTTTTAATAAAGCTTTTCAACGAATTCGCTTTTTTCTATAACAATACATTGTAGAATCATTTTTAGACATGGATCATGTTGGCACAATTTATACGAAAACTTGTGTCACATATTGTGTATACATTTGTGTCTGAGAAATGTGGATTAATATAGTAAAGTTATTGCTGAAAAATAATTTTAAGTGACACTGTTATGGGTAATAGTTTGTTTTTGTTGTTTTCGAGGGAAGGGATGAATTTTTATGAAAATTAGAAATATGTATTCACATGATACTTATAATTAGTATTTCATAATCGTATCGGTGTTACAGAGTGTTAATTTGAGCTTGTATAGAAGCTGGATTCACGTTCAAGGGTAATTTTTGCATTGTTATTTATTAATTGCCTACATATATATTTGTGCATTCAAGTATCAATTGTTCATATTTTAATAAATATATTTTTTCCTTGTTATACAAGGAAAATATAAATATTCAAACTTTCTAGTACTCTAATATTTCTGATGACTTCAGCATGAGTTTTATAAATTATGATATTAATAATTTTGACAAATCCCAATATTAATTACGTGCTTATACCTTTTTTTAAACGAAGGTCATTACAGTTTGTACTTTATCTGTAGCTCGACAAATTTCATAGAAAATGAACTGCATTTTTATTCGAGTCTAATTTTCATAAAACCGTTTGTAGAACGAAAATTTGATAAGCCACTGTAATCCACGAAATAATCAGCACCCAATATTTGTATCAAAGAATTTCAAAAAGGTTTTTTAAAAAACATAACTCATTTCGTTTCAAATCTTTCTCCATTCCACCCTCTTTTCATGTTTCCTTTCAAACTGTAATTTTCCGTTCCCCTCATATTTCTTTTCATGCGCTCAGGAACTTGAAAATCGATTTCCACAAGACGCGACCACCCTCAGAACTCCATACCAAAAGAAAATAAAACTTCCGACGCCCAGAAGTTTAATACTTTCTGCGATTTGTATTTCTCGAAACAATTTTGGAGTGGTTTCTCTACTTCAAAAGAAAACGATTGAGTTCTGTAAACTTCTTTCATGTTTAAATATTTTCTAGAAAATTTATAACGCACTTTAGGAAAGAATTCAACATTTTTTGTAGCAAATTAAAAATTTATTTTGTAAAAATAGAAAGCATGTTCTATATAATATTTATTCTTGTTCTTTAATAATACTGGGTTGAAAAATATTTTTAATTTGTATGGTATGATCACTATTAACGTGTGTTTGCGTCATTGTTGTACTCATTGTTAACATTCCGATGAATTTATGAAATAATTTTTAAAGTGAAATATAATTAAAGCAATTATTGCTTAAAAAGAGTCGTTTAACCAAATATATGAATTAAGATAATGGAGTTTAATTTTTATAAGAAAAAGTTTGCTTTTAATCATTTTAAACAATATTACAGATAGTAATTGTGGTGCTCATTACTGGAAACGATAAATACTTAAGATTCGTATTTATCTTGAAAATGGCACACTATTTCCTAATGATAGTGACATTTCACTAGGATTTCGAAGGCATAGTGATTTTTTTATTGAAAATCAACTTCATCCACAATTATGTCACTTGCACCCTTTTATTCTAATCACCACAGTTCATTAGAAGGAACTTTGAATATCATGCAAAGTAATTTACTTTCAAGTGCTCAAGAAATAAATATTATATTTGACAAGATATTTAATAAACTGTTTATTATGATAATATGCCAAATATTTTGTTACGTCGAAGTTATTGAATCAAATTCGTGTTCAAGAGAACTTGAAGTCACATTGGAATGCCTTTTCGCTGTAATTTTATCCCCGCGACCTTCTTCAGTCTGTCAGTAGTTAAGACCTATGCGGATGGTGACTCTCTCTAGTCCGTGTTTAACGTTTTAATTATTTCTGTTTGGCGATAGGTCAGTCCTCCGACTGACTATTTAGCCACGCCTTGATTTCTCCTTGTTCTAACCAGTTAAAAACTTGGAAATCTAATAAAATTCTAATATATGACACAGTCAATTATCATCTTCTGTAATTTACAATCAATGTAGTGAATATTAAAGGCAAGCAAACGTCTGACATACATTCCTTTGATTTATTCTTACGCTCTGCTGCATAGACAGTAAGTCTTATTATCATTACCGTTGCTTTCGAATGCAACGCAGTGCTGTAAATATTTATTTATTCCATCGTATACCGTGTCTTATAATGCAATTTCTCTCGAGTTAAATACTGTAAACAAAAAACTGTTGTTATCACTTGAATATTATTTAGCGAATTTAAACGACAATATTTCAAAGCGTAGCTACGCTGAAACAGTACTTTTGTCCAAGCAATATAGAATTCCTTCCAAGAAATATTATGTTCTTAAATATCGCTAAAGTAATTATTATATGTATATGAAAATTATAATATTATAGTATCGAAATACTATTCGAAAAGAATATTATTTTTAGATAACTTTATTTAAAAAATTTACTGTAACTAATTCGATATTTTATTTTCCAAGTTATACAAAATATTACAATAACATTCAATTATGATATACCACATCCTAGGTAAAGACTAGCCAGTAATACAGATTAATTAATCTACCACCAATATTACAAATACTAAATACTAAATACTAAAAATATTGAATAATAAATATTTTTCATACCTAATTTCTTAGAATAGTAGCATTATTAATAAATAGAATCATAATTATTACTAATAATAAGTATTATCACCTCATAAGTATTATCATCAATCGCAGTTAATAAGAAATAATAAGTATTTTCAGCATTCAATCTCCTGCAATAATAGTATCATTAAAAATATCTTATTATTAATAAGTACAATCGTAATTATTATTAACAATAAGTATTACCACCCAATCAATATTATCATCAATCCCAGTTATTAAGAAATAATAAACATTTTCAGCATCCAATCTCTTACAATAATGGTATCATTAACAATACCTTATTATTAATACGTACAATCATAATTATTATCAATAATAACTACCATCAGCTAATTAACATTATCACCAATCCCAGTTATTAAGAAATAATAAATATTTCAATGATCACGCGAGAATGACCCAGTAATACCGAGCAACGTCCTTCCAACAGCTACGAAACCCCATTCCATTCACGGGTGTCCGCGCGCGCCACGCGACACGCATTCACCGGTACTCTCCTCTTTCCGTTCACAGAATTTCTTCTCGAAGAGGTCGTTCCGCTCGAACCCGCTGAAGAGGACGAAGAGCGTGACGAAGCTTGAACGACAGAAGCAACGTGGCGCCGGACTTCGGGGTTGCCGTTCACACGAGTCCCTCCTCTGCGGGCAGGCGGTGACCTCGATGGACCTCGCGGCCGTGACACCACTGCATCCGAGCCTGCTCGGCAGACCTCACTGCTTCCAGGTCACACCCAGCACCGGTGGGCCCAAGTATTTCAGTTGCAGGACCGCTCACGAACGGGACCAGTGGTTACACAGGTTGGTACCGTTCCTCTGTTTCTTCTTTCGTTTCTTTTTCACCCGTGGCGACCGACCGACCGACCGGGAATCCTGCACCCATCCGGTCTGACGAATTCAGACGCGAAGCGGTCTTCCCGCTCGTAATTGACGCGAACGGCTGATTTTTATTTCTATCGCTTGTAACTGGATCTCGTGGTTCTTGCGCGCCCCTGGGAATATGAACCAGTCATTTCTTTGAAGCGATTAACTCTGGAAAACGAGCAGCAGATGAATTCAATATTATGGACATAAATAAGCAATCGAGTATGCAGGTAACCATCGCATAACACGGTTTGACTCTAACACGGTTTGAGAATCAGTAAAATCCCAGTACGACGCTTAAAGTTTTTGAGAACAACATTCGAAATTAGGAAAATCTCCGTACAACGCAGAGATAAGAGCTTTTAACACATTGTTCACCGGCAATTTTTTGCAGGAGCTACCCCGGTCATTATTTCGTAATTAAATATGAAAATGAAACAAAACTTCAATATACTTTATTTATACATAATGAATTAAAATAAAACTGGACGTATCTTTTATAGAACTTTTAATGTTTTACTTTTGCAATATTATGTATTTCCCTGCGTTTAAAAAATTGAAATATCTGATGCAAGTACAAACGCGAGTTATCTCGTGACCGGTTAACAGTGTGTTAAGTGCACAAAATATCTCATTGGAAATTTTTCATTTGGTACGTATATGTCGTATTAGATTTGCCTGTAGAATTTTGAAATTTATTAGAGTTTGACATTTTTTTGCTCGTTTTTCTTAAGTACATTTGACGACTTTATGTTCTTCTTTTTAATATATTATACACAGATTAACATTTTCCGGATGGGTATTGTTAAATCCTTCATAAAAATGGTAATTATGTTATTTCAAGACATCTTTTAGAAGCATAACAACCGTATTATACGGGGGTTACATCTATCGACATTGAAATTTGAAAACTTTTGAAACGTGGAGTTCGTCACTTTAGCTTATCAATGACTTGTACGATAGTGGAAATCGTGTGTTTGAATTTGTATTAATGTTGTGTGCATAATGTACGAATCCAGGCTCACTATAACGAGATTGACCCCTATATTAGCAACCAAAATGACTTTCGTTCAAACTATAGTATTACGACATTATTGCGTGAATACTTTATTTTCGAAGCACAGATCGATGTACAAGTGTTCAAATAATGGAGGTCCGAAACAATTTTGTCGAATTTTTATGAAAACAATAATTGCGTGGAAGAAAATATGAAAATAGGTAGCTAAGTACCTGGTTGTTAATAGAGGGTTAATAAGAGTTATTGGGCAAGTGTAAATTGACATAAGATAACTAAGAGTGTATTTATTTAAAATATTTTTAAATTAAGTTGTAAATTCTGGACAAGTAAATATTGTAATGTAAACTTTTCTTTTTCATTATTCTATCTATTAACTTATCGTTTCAGCGCTAAGAAGCTTTAAATTCTGATTACCATGTGCTTTGAACCCAGTTTAAGAAAATCCGTTCAACCGGACGCGGAGCAGACGAGGCGTACTGACAATTCCTTGCAAATCTGGCTGCTCGAGGCGAAAGGAGTACCGGCGAAGAAACGATACTTTTGCGAGGTCTGTCTAGATAGCACCTTGTACGCGAGAACCACCGCAAAATTGAAGGCTGACCTTTGCTTTTGGGGCGAACATTTCGACTTCCATCATTTGCCCTCCGTGAACACCATACAAGTGAACTTGTACAGAGAGGCTGATCGGAAGAAGAAGAGGGACAAGAATGTTTTAATCGGTGAGTTTATTATTATACACGATAATCTGTAATAATAATATTTAAAATACTTTATGATAATTATTATGGATAATCTTTTAATATAAACTCCTCTAACTCTTTTAATAAAAAAATTACTATTTTAAACATATTATATTACAGAAAATTGACCTTTATATTAGACTTTGAATTACTTTTACATAGTCTCATTTTTATATTAGTGATTTTCCAGTTACGCATAACATTTTTTGAATCCCGTTTCCTTTTTCTCAAAATTATCTTTTTGATATTTTGAACTTCTTATTTCTGAACTGGTTAACACCCAACGTTATTTCAAACGTCATGATCAAAGATTTGCTTCGAATTACGCTTTCACTGTTAAGTAACCGTTAGATGTTATCACAGAAACTGGCACATTATTATTCAACATTCTCTACAAAGTTTCAGCTGTGAATATATTTCAACTTTTCATGCAAAGTGGCTTGAAATTCTTATTTCATAAACTTTGTGTTACTTTAAGGATTCAAATAATTGATTATTCTAGAAATTACATCTTTGCAAGCTAATCGAGTACCTTTTTATTGAATCATTCTCATAAAAAGTATAATGACCTAAGCATTCCTGACCCTTCAGGAATGATGCCTAATTCCCGGTTTCTTTCAATCTTTTCCAATTCCTCCCTCCTCGTTAAAGATATTAAATATTTATTTCTTCAGTATCCTTTATAGCAATTTCAATTCTGGAAAGCAAAGAAAAATTATAACTAAATATAAAAAGTAGTCAGTATCCTTTGCTGACATCATCCTCGAAAGGTTAACACGTTAAACACCACGTCGATCGTAAATGATCGACGATACAAAATATAACAAAAATATTTCGATAGTATTTTAATACAAACATCTCAGTATTGAAAAATTAAAATAATAACTTCATTAAAGAACGGAAAGGACACTGGACATTTGCAATTGAAACAATCCCACCGTAAAATTGGCTCGATAAATAAAATTTGGCACGACGCTTAACGTGTTAACTGACATTTGCAGATTTTTACGGTGTGATAATTTGCTGTTTTAATTAATTATGGAACATTTCGAAATTTATTTGCAGGTTCAGTCAGTATACCCGTGCACAACGTTACCTCGCGTTATTTAACAGAGAAGTGGTACACGGTGGTGGGTGACAAGGGTCCTTTAAAGGAGCCACCGGCACTTAGGGTGAAATGCCGCTTCCAATCCGTGGATATACTACCTGTTCAGGTATACCAGGAATTCCTGGAGTACCTGAAGTCCGACTACAAGTCACTGTGCGAGAAATTAGAGCCGGTGATTGGCGTGAAAGCGAAAGAGGATATCGCCACTGCTTTGGTGGCCGTCATGCAACGGGAAAAGAAAGCGCCACAGTTTCTTGCTGACTTAGTTATGATGGATATACACAAAATAGGTGAGTTTTGCTGGCGGTTATTAACACATGCATTGATACGATCACCGATGATTCAGTCAACAAACAGTGTGCTTTAGTGTATTTTTATTGAAATATAGGTCTGTTGGACGAAGTAGGTTGTGTTACACGCAAATTTTCTTGATATTATCGATCTCGATAGATATTATTGTAAAAGCAAAATGAAACAAATGTTGCGTAAAAATTAGATGAAAAATGAATAAACATTTACGTCGTGAGAAAATTATTTATGTTTATGTCTAGGATCCATAATTTTAGATTGTTTTGATTAGTACTTTTTGTGATGTTATATGTTGTTAGTCTGAAGCTTCCTGCAGTCATAGAATTAACATTTTTCATTTTCTTGTCAATTAAAAGAACTATAAAATCGTTTACGATTAAAGGAAACACGAATGAGGATAATTATTAACCCTTTGCGCTCCTGTGTCGAGCGTAACTCGACGTCAATATTATAGATTATATTATTATGTTATTTTCGATATTATTGGTAAGAAGAATCGTTTACACCGCTCTCTACAAACCATCTATTTTTTAAAATGCATTTCAAATAAAATATCGTAATAATACAGAGTAATTGAGGAAAAAATGCAAAAGAAATTCGGAGTGCAAAGGGTGGTTAACCAGTAAATTCAGAACGTTTCGCCGTTAACATATTTTTGAAATTCATTTATTTATCACGCTAAGTATCGGAAGTAATGCTTCCATGGTTCTGTTACAAGGGTGCAATGGAAATACACATAACTGTTCGATGTTTTCACCAGAGATAATGATTTGCTTATAAACATTGCAACACGAACTTTTGAGTAATTTAGCAGAAGGTAAAAGCAATTACTATTTTCTTGCATGAAAAATTTAATGCAATGTTGCACGGGAAAAACATTCATGCACTAGTGAATTCTGCTTTCAACTATTAATACGGTTTTCATAACAATGAAGTTTTGCAAGAGTTCATTGAACTGTGTTGATGATAAATTTATAAAGCAACTTATTTTAGAATTTAATTTAACCCACTCATATTTCTTTATCCTACACATCATCTTCATCTTTTGTTTTGCGCGCGTGATATAAGTTATTCAACAATAAAAACGGATGTTTGAGACGCGGCTACAGAAAAACCAGTTTCAATTTCAATTTTTATTCAATTAAAAATTTTTTATTTACCGTACACTTAATGATGAAATTTCATACTCCTTTTGTGTCGTCCTGCAATATACTTCATTTCATTCCAACTCTACTACTCATTTCACCATTAAGATGCCACAGAATTTCGATTCTCTAAAAGACAAATAATAAATTTTAGTGGAAGAATTAGCGTATTACCCATTGATACGCCTAAAGTTTTATAAACACCAATAAATTTCACATTATTGTCCGCAATAAGAAGTCTGAAAAGCCTCTGGAAATGGCTTTCGGCCAAAGGGGGTTCTGTCATTAACCACAAATATTGAATTTCAGACGACGAGAGGCTCACCTTTCGAGGAAATTCCTTAGCCACGAAGGCGATGGAGGCCTACCTGAAGTTGACGGGCGACAGGTACCTGCAAGAGACCTTGGGTGCCGTCGTGAGGGGTGCGGTAGAGGGTGGCGATTGCGAGGTGGACCCGCTGAAGGTTGCCTCGGTGGCGGCTCTCCACAAACAACAACAGAATCTACGGAACGCGGTGGATCTCGCCTGGAGCAGGATATTAGCCAGCCACGCACACTTCCCTCTCGAATTACGCGAGTGCTTCCGTATCTTCCGCGAGCGTTTGGCAGACATGGGCCGCGAGGATATCGCTGATAACCTAATCTCCGCATCCATATTCCTTAGATTCCTTTGTCCAGCTATTCTGAGCCCGTCCCTCTTCAACATCACGCACGGTAAGTTTCAATGTGTTTGATATTAACCCCTTGGCCTATGATTTCTTTCTCAACTCTGATTCATACGGCTACTTTGTCATTAATAATTTATTGGAAAACGAGAAAAATTCTATGCCTATATTTCCTTTTAAGTATAATAGTTGATTACGGAGGAATAATATATACTTTGAATTCGAATTAATTAAGTACTGTATACATTTGTTGAAACATGTTAAAAATTTTCACCACGAGTCTCACTCGTTGTTGTAAGACATGGGGTTAATAGTACATACGTACAATTTGTTGTGTTTTTACTTAATTCTTGGATGTCAACTAATTATTATTAAATTTCAAATTTAAGTATGAGGAAAAGAGGCAGTTTATTTATAATTAAATTTCATTCGTTGCTTCCAAAATAGTTTTATGTTAAACAGCTTACAAGGGTAGTTGAAGAAGATAAAAGGACTAAGTTTTTTTTTATAACGGAATAAATTTTACGATTGTACATGAAAATATTTCATTTATTCTTTAACGATTAAAAGGATTGTGAATAATGAGACTTGTTCTTCCAGAATACCCGAACGAAAAGGCAGCGAGGAATCTCACCCTCGTAGCCAAGACCCTACAAACGCTCGCAAACTTCACAAGATTCCAAGGGAAAGAAAATTTCATGGAATTTATGAACGATCTCTTAGAGAGAGAAGCTCCCTCAATGAAGAGGTTCCTCCAAATGATCAGTGTACGTTTCATTTCCCGCTTATTAGTGCAAACTTCTCTTATTGAATTATTTACTTGCAGTAAATAGCTGTATAATCCCTTTTAAATCGCAAATAGCTTTTTTATTCAGTCCTATACAGGATCTCATACTTTATATACAAGTTAAACTGGTACACAACAAAGTTTTTAAAATATATTCTATTTACTGATCAATTAGCCTCATCAAGACTTTTTAAAAAAAAACACTCATTCAAACACATTACTGACTCACAAAATTCTCTGTTACAGAGCCCTTTGCCAAAAGATGCCCCAGCCAACAATTCCCTAGAATTCGATGGCTACATAGACCTCGGAAAGCAATTATCCCTACTGCATGCCCTTCTACGTGAAAGCTTAGTCACGATATCTTCCTCCTCAACATCACTGCCTCCGTCCAGGCTACCGGAGATCCTAGAGAGGATCTCCTTAGCCCTGGACCAACCTGGTCCAAGTCCGGTGCCAGCGTCGCATCGATATCCAAACTTGCAGAACAACATCTTCCGTTATAATGATCCAACGATTGCGAATAGCAACACGAATCTCTCAGTGTCAGCGACATCTACGTTGAGCAACCACAGCACTCTGAACGGTACGATCAGGGACAGTAACGAGGTGCTGCAATCTAACACGCTGGGCCACAATAGTTCACGCAGTCCGAACGTCGCGAGAGCCGCCACTCTTCCTAGAAACGCTTACATGCCTACCAACGGAAAGCTTCAGCTGCAGATCACACCTGATGATTATCCATTAGAACCGCCAGCATTTGTGTCCCGCTCACCGACACCAATTGTCAGACAACACAGGGCGATCGGCAGCAACAGGGCAGGCGCAGGTTACAGACTGACTGCCAGCGCGAGTCTGGCGAATGTGAATCACTGCCAGACCCACCCCACCAGCCCCACGCGATCCGAGAGTCACAGCAACCTAAAGGACTCGAACTACAACATCACCACGTCCCAAAATAATCAGTCCAACATTAGCACAATTGTCTCCCAGCAACAGCAGAATCATAGACACAACATGGCCCGGTTGCAGAACTTAGATATCCATGACAGGGAGGATAATTATAATCATAATAACTACAACGTCTCGAGATCGACGAGCAGGAATCACTGTAACAAAGAAGAGAACGCGAACCAGACGCAGCATCAGAATTATAATAATGTCTCGAAGACCACGGTGAACGCGAACGTGGTGGTGAACCCGTCGTCTAATCTGACATTGTCCATCAATCATCAGCCGAACAATAATTATAACATCAGTAAAACCAACAACACGACTGCCAACGGGAATCTCGATGAACTGTCAGACTTGTTAAGGTACGCCGATGACGAAGTCTCGGAATCCAAGTCGCAGAAAGGCTCTCAGATATCTATTTCTCAGTTGAGCAATGTTGCCTCGTCCGGGTACCAGAGCTTTGCCGCTTATAGTCAAAGCTCTAGCCCGGTGGATCTCAGTAGTAATAACGCAAACGCTCATATACTCAGCGCCGCGCCGCTCGCATTCGCTAATCCTGTTTACCACATGGAACCAAATCATGGGAGGAGCGGCAGGAGGGGAAGTAGCAGTTCAGAGGAGAGGGACGGAAGCAGTGGCGGCGTGGAAGGTGTGCGAGGCGTCGATCTTAGTCCGTCTCCTCCGCCGCAGAACAATGTCAGGAACCTTCAGAGGAACAGTCAGAATCAGTGGAGGCAAAACAACCAGACACATCGGAACAATTCGGAGCAGAATCAGAGCGTTTGTTGCACGACGAAACTCAGAAGGAGGTTGTCGCTGGACTCAACGAGGGACTTGTCTGACACCAGTGAAGAAGAGAGCTGCACCACTAGGAGGAGTAAATCACGTAGTCACCGTAGTATTGATCAGGTAAATAATTGGCCTCTCGTTTTATAATTTGTTGTTCTGTTCCTTTGATGACGAATGAAATTTCTGGAAAAATTTAATTATTTATGGAAGGCAAAGCAAATATAGAAAAATTGCATTTTTATTGTCAAAAAAGGTATTTATTCTTTTCTTCGTAAAGATAAATATAACTACCTTTTGTAATAAATTAACCAAAAGTTCATTATATTCAGTATTCGTTTTGAAATCATCATTATCAACTTTAAAGTATTTTCAAGAGATTAGTATTCTTTTAAATAACTACTGTCAAAGTTGATCTTCATTCGACTAACAACACAAGAAAACCTCTTATACTACTCAGTGTTTACTATTTTGAATAAAAATGCTTATTAATAAAGTTTTATATTAAATTTTTCCATTTTTTAATCAAAACCTAAATATTCACATTGAAACTCATTCGTCGTCCCCTGGACCAAGTTCAATAAAACCTTTCTTCCAGCGTCATCTCCGAAATGCCCAGCTGCAAACCAGTCAAGGAACCGACGAATCCGCCGCCTAAACGATAATAATATTCTCTTAATTCAAAAACTCAAAGAGGAACTTACAAAATCTCGTGCCTTAACTCTCGTATGTAAATATAATATAAACTGTCGTAACATGTGTGTATGTTGATAACAAGTTCCTCTCGCGCTCTCATCTCCGCGTCCCTATTTTTTTTCTCAGTTCTTTCTGATCTGTCTAATGGAAAAACGGCTGTCTCTTACCGTCTCTGTCATGTGTGTCTTGTAACTAACAACGCCACGTCTCTTCGTTTCCAGTACGAAGTGGAAATCGAGAGGCTGCAGAGTAGCGTAGATCGACTGAGGGCCCGGTTAGGCGCAACCGAGGATACCGATATAGACGGCATTGCACCGGATACCAAGATGAAGAGCATCATTTCCAGGTACTTAATCCTCATTAACGCGGCTGACTAACCCACCGACTGATTCTTTTGCCTGAGTGTGACCTGATAACCGACCACCCCACTTCCGTCATCGTGGTAACCATTCTTATCCTCTGCGTTTCACTTCGGGGCCTTTTTCTTATCCGTGGTCTCATACTCTCGGTCACTTCTCAGCTCTGCTCCATCCTACATTCCCCTGGTTCTTTACTTCGCCTTCGAGTCGTTCAACCCCATCAAAGCGAGCCTGTCAAATCAGCTCCAATCTTTTCCCCTGGCTCGATCTTAATCATTACTCGCCCATCGCTTGACTCGTCGAGATCGAAGCACGGTTGAGAAACGCGGGTCGAAGAAAGGAGGACTGAGCTGGATAGACGATATTCTATAGATTAGTGCATCAATCTGTCTGATGTGTATTATTATATTATTGAAGAGATATGTTAATGTACAGGTAGTTACAGTTCTTTTGGTATATTCTGTGTAATATAAAGGAAATTTCTAATTCTTTTTTCAATTTAAGGAATTAGTATTCGTTAAGAATAGCTTTATGAGATTCATCTTGAATTAATCTTCATAAAAACTTCTTTATTGTCTTTCTAGTGTTCTTAGGATAATTCGATAAAGAGTAGTAGAAGTAAATATTTATATGAGAGGTATAATTCAAGACTGAAGTATGTACTAATCTGCAGATTGCTGTAATCAATGATTATCAATAACAGGACATTATCTTTTATCTATAACATTCTTCTATTGAGCACTTTGTGTAACAGACTCTCATTATTCAGCTCTGTCGACCAATAAAGCACAATCCGCTAAAGAGTAATACTTAACGGTAAAGTGTTGTAAATAAATAGATTATACAATTGAGAATTCGCATTTTCTACAAAAGTACGAGGTGTTTATCTAAGATGTGTTACTAGCTACTTCCTCAGAAACTATTACTGATACCAATTAAATTCTCGTTTCAATTGCATTCCAAAACGAGACCCTTCATTTGTCATGAATATTTGGCAAACTAAAGAATTGGAGAATTTCAACCTTTCATTATAAATTCTTATTTCCGAAATTAGTGTTACTATTAAAACAATATTATAATCGTTGCTTAACAAAAGAAAGAAATTATATAATCATTTCCAATAACCTTATAGATAACAATAATTTTATACATTCTCGTTACAACTCAGGTTTATTAGAATCTTCATTATAGATCAAAATAATTGTATAAAAGTTTATTGAAAACAAAGCACATTTCGTGCTAATGCATAATTAAAATTTTGAAAAAATAATTTAATTATTAAAACTGTAATTATTTGAAAAATTCAACTGCCAATGTATTAACGAGCAATTTATTTTCATTGCAGTGTAAAATCACTTTATTAACACATTGCGTACGGGTGACGAGATATCTCGTCTTTAGCAAGCCGAACGTTGTGGCCGAGCGACGAGATTTCTCGTTTTCAGGTTTCTTCGACTCAATCGATGATTTAAGGAATTAAAAATAGATTTTCTTGTTACGTTACCAGAGTAACGAAGTCTCGCGTATTCTCCTAATAAATGGTTAGTGAAACAAAATGAATATCGACATTCCGAAGGCGTAAAAGTTAGTCAGTCATTATAGCCATTACATCGGTAGCTCTGTGTCGATCGTGCATCGTACTTTATAAAGTATTTTATCGTTGTACAGCATTTTGTTATTATAAAGTTCGCAGAAAGTCCGTAAAAATATATAGTAATATTTAAGAATACCTTACGTGAATATAATACCAAATGCGAATTAAAAAAGTGCATATATGCATCGTATAAATTGTTTCTGGAACGCCGAAAAATGTGCGGGCCCTGGAAGCGCGTTGCGCGAGCAGAGTGCCGTACGCAGTGTATTAGAATATGGAAATATATGATTTGAAAAATTCGAATAACATTCACAAAAAATGATTCTTATAAGTCCCGAAGTTTCAAGGACGTCCATCTTCAATACTCTCGAGTGGTTCGCCTACAAGCACCCACCCTCCGCGTCGCGAGTGGCCACGTCGAGCAACGTAAAACAAAAGAATACTGTTATCGACGTCGTGCCGGTAATAGTCTCCGCGAGAATGGCTTGTCACACCTTAAGCAAGACACCCTCAGTACTTACGCCGGAAAATAAGAAAAAAAATGAACACTGATGCGTAACACGCCGAACGGTTACTGTTCTCGAAATAATATGTATGTTTAATTGATTGTGTGTTCCTGTGCATTCTATCCGCTGCATTTGGTATACTCTGGCTTGATCTGGACCTTGGTGTAAGAGTCAATTATATTTCTAAGCTTCTTACGTTTTTACATCACATTGTTTAGCGTATAGTATATAATATACATTATATATATACATATTTTTTCCTAAAAATAATATGATAATATATATTTATATATTACATACATATATATATATATATTTATATTATATAATCTCCGTCTTGGTTTTTTTCTCCGACGACAACACGCGCGAAAAGTCTTTTTCTCGCTGATTAAATGTCGCCACGTTTCGATTACGAGTTAGATCATTGTCTCTGTATTCGTATCACCCAATCATACTCTGAACCATGCGCCCGACGAAAGCATTATTCACCCTTACGTACAATACTTACATCACCGTCCAACTAACATTTTTTTCTTATCAGTCAGTCTCACAATCTCTCAGTATCACTTCTCACCGGATAATATACCCTGTTCTACACACGCCTCGGACACGTTCATCTCTCTGCTCGTGTGTGCACG